AACACCACATTCAGCTGGTCCACAGTAGGGTACGATCTGCAGCTCACGCCCTTCCTTCCGTCACCATCGCGTAACCGCTTCACAGTCATCGGCTGCGACACCGTGGGGCTCATCAGCGGCTACAAAGACACCACAGGCAAGTACAGGGCTGGCTGCTACTCCTACTGTGAGGGCGCCAACAACACGTCTGAAGGTGCGCCATGTGCTGGAATGGGCTGCTGTGAGGCTGCCATCCCCAACAACCTCACCTCCTTGGAGGTCGTGTTTGAGATGGACCAGAGCAAGGTATGGCACTTCAACCCATGCTTCTACGCCATGGTGGCTGAGGTTGGGTGGTACAACTTCAGTCAGCAGGACCTCGTCAGTAGACTTGGGTTCATCGATCAGCGAGCCAAGAAGGGTACCCGCATCGTCGCTGATTGGGCCATTAGGAATGGCTCATGCCCAGAGACGGGAAAGGACAAACCTAAGGACTATGCTTGCATCAGTACAAACAGCTAGTGTATGGCTGCGAACAATGGTCCAGGATACTTATGCCGTTGCTCCGGAGGATATGAGGGCAATCCTTATCTTCTGAACGGCTGTGAAGGTCAAGTATCTACACTAATTCAACTTGTGTACATTCCCCCTCTCCTCTCAAAAACTTTGAAAAGAGTATTTCTGTCTAATTAAAATCAGATATTTGAGTAGTTGGTTTCATTACATGTTGAATCTTTGTCCCGCAGACATATAGTGAACTTGTTTTTTAGTTTGAATCTTCTGAGAGAATGTTTTCCATTATGTACTCAGACATAGACGAGTGCACATTGCGTAAGCAGAACCCCAAGAATGAAGATGTGTATCCATGCAGAAAAGGGGTCTGCCTCAACACACCAGGATCATACGATTGCAAATGCAAGAGACGAACACGACCTGATGGTACAAATTTTGGATGCCGGCCTCTGTTGACTTCAGCTGAAATATTGGCCACTGGTGAGCATCATTTATTTAACAATTGGCCTATATTGATACTTTTATCAACATTAAGATGTGCATTTTAATAACAAACACTCAAGCAACGTAAAAAATATATATGAACTCAGAACACTACTTGGTACTTACAACCAAAAGAAAAATAGTGAACTCCTGATTCATAACAGAAATTTACTACTGTTATTATTAGTTTCTCAAATATATATGTCTGCAGGCCTCAGTGTTTCTGCGACTGTGGTGATGGCCTTAGCATGCTTGCTGCTCATGCAATTTCAAATAAAAAGGCACAAAAGGGAAACAGATGAGTATTTCAGACAAAATGGAGGTCTCAAGTTATATGATGAGATGAGGTCAAGGCAGGTCGACACAATCCGCATACTTACAGAGAAAGAGATAAAGAGAGCCACTGACAACTACAATGAAGATCAAGTTATTGGATGTGGTGGTCATGGTATGGTCTACAGAGGAACTTTGGATGATCAAAAAGAGGTTGCCATAAAGAAGTCCAAAGCAATCAACAATGCTTGGAGAGAAGAATTTGTCAATGAGATAATAATCTTGTCACAAATCAATCACCGACACATTGTGAGGTTACTAGGCTGTTGTCTGAATGTAGATGTCCCGATGTTGGTCTAGGGGAGATGACAGGCCAGCGATGAAGGAAGTTGCAGAGAGACTAGAGATGATGAGGAGACTCCAGTTGCACGAAGCCAGTGCTCATGAAGACAATCAGTGTGTGTATAACTACGGAGGATCATCTTCGGTTGTTGTCCCCTTTGATGAGGCAACACGCGGGACAATCGACATGTCCGAGCTGGTCGAAGATCTTGCGAGGTGATGTTTGGAATCTTGTATACAGAGTTAGTTCTTTGGTTTGTGTTACGCAAAACTAAACCACAGCCACCGTTACGATTGCGAAGTGTAATAAGTTAAACCTGTTCATGGAGCAATTATCCTGACATTCGGTCTGGCATGCTGGAGAAATCGCCAAACTTGGCATTTCAAGGTATGCAACATGTACATAATGTGTGCCTGCTGTATAGTTTGACCATGGCCATAATGTGTGTCTAGTGTGAACTGTCCCCATTCTGAACTCTGAAGATATATTCAGCTATGTGACGCGATACTGAATCGAAGTTTACCTGTGGTGAGCGTGGAATGGATCCCCTTGTGTTGGCGCGGCTCGATCCGCTCCCCAGATCCAAACGCGAGCCGGCGACCAGCCGCCGCCGAGCAGAATCGCGGCCGTCGCGACGAACCGGTTCGAATTCACCAGCACCGGCGTTCACCACGGGTCGCCGCGCCGCACGGACCTCTCCCGCCGAGTCCGCGGGACGGAGCCTCGGCGCCGGAAGCCCGCGGCTACGGGAGGAACCGCGTGGCCACCGCCGCTGCTGACGTGGACGCTCGCTGAAGCCTCCCTCCCTCCCTCCATCCCTGCCGCAGAGCCCTCCCGTCGAATCCGCGTCTGAGTTCGGAGCCGGAAGCCCGCGCTACTCCTGCCGCACCAATGCGGACGTTCGCTGAAGCCACCCGCCGGTGGCCGCCGCCCGTCCGGCACGTCGGCAGTCGGCACGGCGGCGGGGTGGGGGGCCGTCCGGCGGCTTGGGCAAGGGACTCTCGCCCGCTCGCTCTAGTGAGCGGTGAAAAGGCGTATTCTTGACTTCGAAGCGTACTCTCTTTTACCGTTTTCCATACTGCTTTGTTCAAAAAACAATTGGAAGAAGAAGAACCAACAGATCTTATACAATACCTACCTGCATATGCCCTTCAATGGCACAAAACATTTTTCTTGAATTATTAATTTAATATTATATTTTATAAACATTTCAAAGATACATGATTAACATTATTTTCAAACATATATATTTCCATGTCTATTTTTGTCATATATATTTTACATTTTCTGTATACATTAGGAGCATTTTTTGTTACACATTTAACATTTTTCAATAGATATTAACTTTTTCAAATATATTTTTTGGTATCTTCTTTATTTCTCACACATTGTATATTTTTGTATACAATAGGAACATTTTTATATACTTTTAAAAAATTTCAGATACATGATTACCATTTTTTCCTATATATGATGTCTATTTTTTTCATACATGTTTAAAAAAATTAAATGTACGATTAACATTTTAAAGATTTTTTCCAAAAATATGTAATATTATTTTTGAATTATATATGTATTTAGAATATTTCGAAATATAAGAAAGGTAAAGGAGAAAGCAAAGAAAATGTGAAAAAATGGAAGGAAGAAACAAAAAATAAACCCATGCGTGCATGTGGTAGCTCACTGGTCCATATGAGACGTCCGCTTTATAGTCGCACGCTGGGGCCGTTGTCGCAAGTGCTTGAGATGAGGCGTGTGTGTGTCTTGCGTCAAGCGAGAATAGCCGCTCCCCTTGTGGTGCACCGATCTCCGTAATGTTTCTTAAACATTAAAATTTTATGTTATTCAGTGAGAATATAAATGCAATAGATATTTATAATGGTGTATCAAAAGTTAGATCCAAACTCAGAATAGCTAATGCAAATCAGGCCTAGAATTCGGCACATTTATTTTTGATGAATTTGTCATTTTTGTTTCTCATACTATTTTTCACATTTGAATATGAAATTTCATAGCATGATGGATTCTTGTTTTTACTACGGCGTTATTTATTCCCAGAAAATATTCAACACATGCAAATATGGTAATTTTAATTTCCATGCAAAAAGGATAATTTTGATTGGTTTTTTTTTTGAGACAATAGGTTGATTTTGATTGGGTATACTGTTTACGATGGTATCCAGCGTGAAGAAGATAGGAGCACAAAAGCATAAAAATAGAGTTAAAAGAATCGATTCCATTCCATCTTGATGCACCATAATCATTAATTCATAATAATCATAGATTGTTTTTTATTGAGCATCTCTCAATTAAATTAGCAATAACAATAACAACAACAACAACAACAACAAATTGGTACTCAAAAAAGAAACAATAACAAATTGCTACTACCTTTCTTTTTCGAGAGTACGCGAAACGTGTACCATATTTTTATCAGTCGTCTCTCTACATACAGCAACCCTATCCCCAAGCCAAGCGCCCGGTAAGCCCGCCCACACCAATAACAATGACCCTCAAATGCCTCCACTGCGCAATACATACGGTGCACACACCCGTATTTCCTATGCGAAGCCCCAAAGCCGCCATCCGTGCCCGCACCGCAATAGCACCAAACGTTTTTACAATCTACAAAATCATCCCTCGCTCCTGGTCTCCTCATGCTCCTCGATACAAGGAGTGTTAATATGCTCCAGCTGACCAAACTAAAAGTCCCCAGCCTCTGACAATGCAAGCCAACACATTGCGAATCAGAGTGGATGTGAAGGCTCTACAAATTTCTTCTTTTCTAATGAGAAGTTGGAACCAGAGTGTTCTCACCTTGCTGACTTTATATAGCAAATATAGGCTCCAGCACGCCAATCGGCGATGATTCCTTCGCCTGTATGTTACCACCAACGCCAGATCATCTCGCTTCCTGAAAATAAGAGAAAACAAAACGAGGTAAACAAAGGAAAGGGAAAATGCCAGGAAAGAACCAAACCATTGACAGAACCATGGATGACTTGCTATCTTCATGGCCTAAATCTTCCTCCAACAGTCAGCATCAACACTGATGTGCAATTAAATAATAAGGCAACAACTCCAAATAAAGAATTAAGACAAAGGCAACACAAACACACAATCAAGGTCGAAGCCTATGTGCGTGTTAACGTACACTCTGATATAGTAACGTCACTTGTAGTAGTAGTTAACTGGCACTCTTGGAAATTCTCTCCTGAAAGAATATAAGATGGATGCAATTGTAGCGTGCCCATGTAGGGGAGACCAGGACCTTCTCTAACATCTCCCATGAATAACTACATATGATCAGTATTTACTTTTCTGCGGAGACAAACCTGCCACACACTGATATAACCCGGGTTAGCTAATGCTCTGTTTGCATACACGTAGAATGAGTTAACATCCAAACATGCCAGGAGCACCAACAGCCCTGCTAGCTTTCATAGTATGCATCTCCTTTCCAGCGGCTGGAGCCTCTTCCGAGCGCTCCATGTCATTGCCCGGCTGCGCTGACAAGTGCGGCGATGTGCCCATCCCATACCCCTTCGGCATTGGGGGGCACTGCGCCACGACCAGGCTGAACAGCTACTTCAACCTCACCTGCGACGGCACGTTTGATCCACCTCGGCCAATGGTTGGAGATCGCGAGGCAATAGTTGAGGTTGCCAGCATCTCACTAGAGCATGGTGAGATGCGTGTGCTCAGCCCCGTCAACCACATCTGCTTCACGTCAAATAGCACATCCACCAAGTTGGCCGATGGGTATGATCTGCAGCCCACGCCCTTCATCCCGTCACCATCGCGCAACCGCTTCACAGTCATCGGCTGCAACACCCTGGGACTCATCACTGGCTACAAGGACACCGCCAGCCAGTACGTGGCTGGCTGCTACTCCTACTGTGATGGTGTCAACAACACGTCCGACGGCGCGCCATGTGCTGGGATGGGTTGCTGTGAGGCTGCCATCCCAGCCAATCTCACCACCTTCGGGGTCGTGTTTCAGATGAACCAGAGCAAGGTATGGGACTTCAACCCGTGCTTCTACGCCATGGTGGCCGAGGTTGGGTGGTACAATTTCAGGCAGCAGGACCTCGTTGGTAGCCTTGGGTTTATCAATGATCGGGCACAGAGGGGTGCCCCCATCGTCGCTGACTGGGCCATTAAGAATGGCTCTTGCCCGGAGGAGGGGAAGGACGCACCTAGTGACTATGCCTGCATCAGTGCAAACAGCTACTGCAAGGCCGCGAACAATGGTCCAGGGTACCTCTGCCAGTGCTCCAAAGGATATGAGGGCAATCCTTATCTTCTGAATGGCTGTCAAGGTTCAATATTTACTCAGATATAACTTGTGTAGATTTCCAGGGATATCACTCTCAAAACTGATGGAACTCTAAACAATATTCAGTGTTACTTAAACTAAATACACTTCCACGAAACATCTGTATGGAAACTCACCAGTAGCTTGGTTCCAAATTTCACCTTGTATAGCAACTCCAACTGTTGGTTTCAACAGAAGTCTTCCAACACTTTTGGGCATACACACGAGTGCCTGGCAGCACTTGTATAATCATATTGGGGTTTCCAGCACACCTCAGTGTAGTACTGTGCAATATTACTTTGAAAAAAATTACGGAAAGCCAAGCTACAGCATTACAAAGTGAATTCATTACTTGAATCTGTGACTTTTTAAACCGCTATTAATGAAAGTAATATAGTAATTTATGTTTAATTTCATGCTTCTAAGTGTGCTTTCGTTAATATCTTCAGACACAAATGAGTTTGCATTGCGTAAGCAGGACCCCAAGTATGAAGATTTGTATCCGTGCAGAAAAGGGGCCTGCCACAACATACCAGGAAGCTACTTATGCAAATGCAAACCAGGAAAAAGATCTGACAGTACAAATTTTGGATGTCGATCATTGCATTCTCCAGCTGACAAAATGGTTATTGGTAAGCACAATTTATGTAAACCGTTTATTTCTGTTCATGCTTTCACCTCCATTTAGATGTGTATTGCCATAACAAACATCCTGTAACAGTATAAAAAATATTAATTCTGAACAGTTCTTACAAGTTATTACGACCAAAAGAAAAATAGAAGTCCAAATTCTAATAAAAATTTACTAGTACCAGTTTCATGTATTGGTAAGAACTATACTATTTATTACAATGTTCCGACGAGAAGAAGAAAAAAATGTTAAAAACAATGGTTTCCGGGCACCATGAAACCATCCATTCACTCATAATAAGTGTATATTCTTTTGCCGGGCACGATATGGCCAGCAAGGTTAGATCTACAACTGCTACTACAAAAGCAACTCCTAATTCATCAACTAGCAACCAACAGCAAACTGCTACTGTCAGGAACGATCTACATAGAGTACATGAGCAACCCAACCCAAGCGCCCCACACCAACAAAAATAGGGAATGGCTAGAAAATCAGTCAGCTGAGTTTTTCATCTCTGGTCGATTTTTCAGCCGTTGGATGCGAAATCAAGGGTCTGCAGTTCATCTTCAACCTCCACCAAATGCCTCGACCACACAATAGCCATTGCAACCAATCAATAATAATCAATCATCAGGAACTATACATACTATGCGCACAACTCGATTTCCTAGCCGAAGCTCGAGGACCGGCCCCAGAAGCCGCAGCCCTTCGAGGTGTCAGCACTGTTCCGCGCTGCACCGCCGCAATGGCACTATTTTTTTTAACAATCTACAGGGAACTCATCTCTCGCTCCTGGTCTGCTCATGCTCCTCAATAGTCAATATGATGAGTGTTGTCATGCTCCAGCTGACCAAATTAACAGTCACCAGCCTCTGAGAATGCAAGCCAACACATTGGCAAATCAAGAAAACTCATCACTCACTCCTGGTTTTCGCATGCTTCTCAATACATGAATGTTGATATGATCCAGCTGACCAAAATAAAAGTCCCCATCCAGCACAAGAGTGTATGTGTATGCTAAATAATTGTTTTTTTCTAATACATAAAAGTTGGAACCGGGGTGTTCTCACCTTGTTGATTTTTTTTTAAATGTGTAGGCTTCACTGAGCCAATCTACAATGATTCATCCTCCGCCACGTTACCACCGACACCAAACCATCTCATTTCCTGGAAAAGATAGAAAATCTCAGATGAGGGGTGTGAGACCATTGACAAAAGCAGCAACTCGGAATAAAGAATTAAGAGTAAGGCAAACACACAATCACGGTCAAAGTCTCACACTCTGATATAGGGATACCACTTGTAGTAGTTAACTGACACCATTGGAGATTCTCTCAGATGAATAATTGTACACAATCAGGATCCTATGGCAACTTGCAATTTTTCTTTTGCAGAGACAAGCATACCACATACTGATTTAGCTGGGTTAGCTAATGTGCTGTTTGCATACATGTAACATCTCCTTTACAGCAATGGCAGCAGCCCTGCTAGTTTTCATAGTATGCACCTCCTTTCCAGTAATGGCAGCAGCGGCCGGAGCCACATCCGACGGCTCCATTTCGTTGCCAGGCTGCCCTGACAAGCACGGCGACGTGCCCATCCCATACCCCTTCAGCATTGGGGTAGACTGCGGCACGAGCAGCCGGAACAGCTCCTTCAACCTCATCTGCAACGGCAAAACCGATCCACCACGGCTAATGGTTGGTCATCCCGAAGCAGTAGCTGAGCTCGCAGACATCTCACTGGAGCACAGCGAGATGCGCGTGCTCAGCCCTGTCAGCCACATCTGCTTCAAGTCAAACATCACATTCACCAAGTTCACCAGAGGGTATGAAATGCAGGACACACCCTTCCTACCCTCCCCATGGCGCAACCACTTCATAGTCATCGGCTGTAACACCCTGGGGCTCATCGGCAGTTACAAGGGCGCCGCAAGCCAGTACGTGGCGGGCTGGTACTCCTACTGCGATGGTGTCAACAACACGTCGGATGGCGCACCATGTGCTGGGATGGGCTGCTGCGAGGCTGCCATCCCAGCCAACCTCACCACCTTTGAGGTCATTTCTGAGATCAACCAGAGCAAGGTATGGGGCTTCAACCTGTGCTTCTACACCATAATGGCCGAGGTTGGGTGGTACAATTTCAGGCAGCAGGACCTCATCGGCAGCCTTGGGTTTATCAATGATCGAGCCCCGGGGGGTGTTGCCAAGAATGGCTCATGCCCAGAGGAGGGGAAGGACACACCTAATGACTGCGCCTGCATCTGTGCAAACAGCCACTGCATGGCTACAAACAATGGTCCAGGGTACTTATGCCAGTGCTCCAAAGGATATGAGGGAAATCCTTATCTTCTGAATGGCTGCCAAGGTTAGATATTTACTCTAATATAACTTGTGTAGATTTCTAAGGATATTACTCTAAAAACTGATGGCACTCTAAACCATACTCAGTGTTAAGGTGGATTGCGAATTTCACCTTGTGTAGCAACTCCAACTGTTAGTTTCAACAGAATTCTTCAAGACTTGTGCATACAGGCGAGCGCCTGGCAGCACTCACATAATCGTATTTGGTTCCCAGCAGTGGGAACACTTGCCGGAACCTCGGTGTAGTATTGGCAAAAACAATGTGAACTTTTCTGGTGTAAATTATTAACACGTACTGTAATATTAAGTCGAGAAAAATTACAGAAAGCCAAGCTACAGCATTACAGAGTGAATTCTTTACTTGAATATATTACTTTTTAAATAACTCTTAATGAAATTAATATAGTCATTCGTGTTTAATTTGATGCGTCTAATTGCTTTCGTTAATATCTTCAGACACAGATGAGTGTGCATTGCGTAAGCAGGACCCCAAGTATGAAGATTTGTATCCGTGCAGAAAAGGGGTCTGCCACAACACACCAGGAAGCTATTTATGCAAATGCAAGACAGGAAATAGATCTGGCGGTACAAATTTTCGGTGCAAATCTCTGCATTCACCAACTGAGAAATTGGTTATTGGTAAGCAGCATTTATATAACTGGTTTATCTCTGTTCATGCTTTGTGTGTTTCCCTAACAAACATCATGTAATTGAAACAAAATGTTAAATCTGAACACTACTTACAAGTTGCAACCAGAAGGAAAATAGCAAAGTCCAAATCCTAATATAAATTTACAAGCACCCGTTCCTCCAAAATATATTACTGCAGGCCTCAGTGTTTATGTTTCTGCAACTGTGGTGATGGCCTTCACATGCATGTTGCTCATGCAATTTCAAAGAAAAAGGCACAAGAGGGAGAACGATGAGTATTTCAAACAAAATGGAGGTCTCAAGTTATATGATGAGATGAGGTCAAGGCATGTCGACACAATCCGCATACTTACAGAGAAAGAGACAAATAGAGCCACCGACAACTGCAATGAAAATCGAGTTATTGGATGTGGTGATCATGGTATGGTCTACAGAGGAACTTGCATTTAGTTATTTCTGGTGACAAATCTACTTCATATTGATATAACCTGTTTGCATACATGTAGCATGGCTAATTGGTATCCAATCATGGCAGGTGTGTCGACAGTCATGGTGATCTTCATAGCAAGCATCTTCTTCCCAGCAGTGGGAACACTTGCCGGAGCCTCTTCTGGACGGTCCACATTGTTGCCAGATTGCCCTGACAAGTGCGGCAACGTATCCATCCCATACCCCTTCGGGATTGGCGCGCACTGTGCTGCAATCAGCCTAAACAGCTACTTCAACCTCGATTGTGACAGCACGGTCGATCCACCAAGGCCAACTGCCGGTGGTTCAGAAGATACAGTTGAGATCGCCGACATCTCACTGAAGCATGGCGAGATGCGCGTATACAGCCCCGTCAACCACATATGTTTCACCTCGAACACCACATTCACCAAGTTCACCACATGGTACGATCTGAAGCACACGCCCTTCCTCCCGTCACCGTCACGCAACCATTTCACAGTCATTGGCTGTGACACCCTAGGGCTCATCACCGGCTACAAAGAAACTGCAGGCCAGTATGTGACTGGCTGCTACTCGAACTGCGAGGGCATCAACAGCACGTCTGAGGGCGCGCCATGCGCTGGGATGGGCTGCTGTGAGGTGCCATCCCCACCAATCTCATCTCCTTGGAGATCATATTTGAGATGAAGCAGAGCAGGGTATCAAACTTCAACCCATGCTTCTACTCCATGGTGGCTGAGATTGGGTGGTACACCTTCAGGCAGCAGGACCTCAACGGCGTACTTGGGTTCATCGATGGTCGAGCGAAGAGGGGTGCCCCCGTTGTCGTCGACTGGGCCATTAGGAATGGTTCATGCCCACAGAAGGGGAATGCCACACCTACTGACTATGCTTGCATCAGTGCAAACAGCTATTGCATGGCCCCTAACAAT